AGCCAGTGTACAAGCTATGCTCCATACGTGAAAATTTTCACCCAGGGGCATGTCAAAGAAAACTTCTGGTGGGGTGAAGCCCCACGTCTGAGGGAGGGTTTTCTCTGACAACCTGGATGTTTTGTAAGCAGCCTCAAAATTAAATAATTTTACATTGGACCGTTGCAAATTTCCATCTGTCAACATAACGCTTCCCGGGGTTATGTCTCCATGTGTAAAACCAGAGGATTCCAATACTTTGGCAGTGGTTAACATCTGGTGGGCAATTTGTTGGATATCAGAAAGTTTAATGGATGCCCACCCACTTCTCTTCCCAAAATCCCACAAACTAACGTCCAGTTTTTCAAACACTAGACAAATCCAATCTTCGTACTCGAAGGATTCAAAATACCTGACTAGATTTTCTGCTTCTACACTCCTGAGAACGTTAAAGAACCCGATTTCCTCTTCAGCCGTCTGATGAAACTTTTTTCTGTAACATTTCAGAGTGTACTCTGCTCCTGCCTTTTCACACAGGGCGATTTCTCCATAACTTGTGTATCTCAGAATTTCCTTTACAACGTAAACACCCGAATTTACAGAGATTCTAAGATGCACCGTTACATTAAGAGGCGCTGGCACTTCTTGGCGATCTTTCTGAAAAGCCATGGCAAATTTATTTGCAATGGTATAAAGAACAGAAGAAAATTATTTCAATCACTTTTGAAATACCTAAACACTTCTTTGGGGTTGCAGAGAATGGCAAGTTCACAAACAAGACCTATATATATAACCTCTGTTGAGTGACGTCATGACTAACGCCTTAGTGACGTTGAAAGCAACGCAGATGAAAGACAACGAAGGCATTTATGCAAATTATGTAGTGACGTCAGGACTCTAACGCAGAAATGCCTTAGTGACGTTGAAAGTCAACGCAGATGAAAGACAACGCAGATGAAAGACACCGCAGATGAAAGTCGACGATGGCATTTATGCAAATTATGTAGTGACGTCACTCAGCAACGATGCTGTCCTTACTGAGGCGTTGCCAACCATGGATATCATACATATCATATAATTATGATATCATATAATTATGATATGTATGATATCCATGGTTGGCAGAAACCAGAGCCCCATAAAGAGAGAGTCCCGACACTCCTATAGACTCCCATAGAAAGAATGGAATGCGGAAGTCACGTGGGTCACGCAGCGGTAAATAGTTCCAAACAGCAGCGGTTCAGCATTGAACGTAGTTCATTCTCCGTGTTTTCTCCGGTAAGTTGATGAAAATACGACACCTTTTCTCCATTGTGAAGCGTTATCTGACTGTTCTGTACCACAATTTATCAACATTAATACTTCATGTCTCCAGTTTTAGTTAATGAAACATGTTAAATTACTAGTTGTGTTTTAACTGCAGCTGCTCTGCAACATGACGGTTTAAACGGGTCTATTTCTAATTCAGCGTTTTAAAATATCTATTACTGCTTAAAGTTTGAAAGGTGGTCTTTTTTAAATTTATGGTAATTCCAGTTACTGAACTCAACTAGAAAATATTTGGCCTTTTTTCCTGAGAGATTCATTCAACCTTTATTTCTACAGGTAAATCCCATTGAGCCTCGAGGACTCATCTACAAGAGAGACCTGATTTAACAAAGAATGATGACAACATGACAACAAGATTGACGTAATTTAGTTAAAGTTATAGATCATTTGTCAAAGACTGCAGCATAAATTGTGACATTATCATTAAAGTAAAACGTGATTGTGGAGATGAGTCAATGTTTTCATGTTTTCCAGGTAAACCAGAGGAGAATGACTTCATGAACTGAATGTTGCATTCAAAGTATCACAAAGGTACAAGATCTCATTTTCTGTCTTCTATTAATCAATAACAGCTGAATCAAGATGTTTGAATAAAATTACTTTAACACCATAACCTTCACAAAGTTGGTATTTACTGCAGGACTGTTCATTTACATTAGTTTTATATTATTAGTTTAGTGTTTGGTAATCATGGGTCAAGTTGAGATGAGACTCTTTCAAGACAGAACAAGAAATAAGAATTATTACAAGAATATATCAGCATCAATAAACTGTAGGACAGTAACAAAACAACTTATTAAACTATCACAGGTACATTGAGATGGAGCTGGAAGTTATTCTTCATGCCAGTTGTCTTCATCTGATCTTTTGTAAAAATATGTCAATTTATTTTCCATTAACATTTTTCTTCACAGGACTGAGTTAATTTTCTTGTCTGTGAGTTTCTTCTGTCCTGCTTATGTATTTTTTGTGTTCTAATTGTTCCTCAGGTTGTTCATCTCTGTTCCCTGACTGCCTGTTGATCCATCCTCCTGGTCCTGTTGATCCTGGATCATCAGATCCTGACTTGTCCCCGTCCTCTGAGGACACATTTTCATCTGTCCCTCATCTCACTCGCCTCATTTCTGTTTCTTCCTCAGTCTCTGAAATTACAACGTCACTGTTAGAATGAAGATTATTGTTCAATAAAAATATGACATGTCTTATTGTAACACTGCTCGTACCAAAGTTTAATTTAGAACAACATGTGTGATCACTGGTCAGATCACTGGTCAGGTCACTGGTCAGATCACTGGTCAGGTCACTGGTCAGTGGAAGTTCTGCTGTTCTTCTCATCTGGTTCTGGTCCATGAACTGGTTGAACCTCCTTCAGTCTCACACGTCCTCACTGTGTCTCAGTCTCACATGTCCTCACTGTGTCTCTGTGAACTGTCCTCTCTCTAAATGTGCCTGTAGAGTGACATTAGTTTATTTTCTTGCACATTTCTTTGACAGTTAAACATTTTGAGCCCTGATTGAAAATGTTTGTGCAGATTAAATTTACAGCTCTCACTTTGTTGTTGTGTTGTTGTGATGGTGATGATGGTGCTCCTGCTGACTTGAGATGATGTCATTAATAAACAGTATAAATGGCAGTAAAAGTACTTTATTAAAGCTTGCTTTACATTTTACATATTTTATAATAAATCGTCATCAATCTGAGGATCCACCAAACAAAACTGATTTCCACAAACAGCATACTCCATAGTGGAAAAAAAAAACAGTTTTCTGGTGCTAAGATGGCCTCCGGGGCTCACCCTCTCCCCCGTCAACTCGTCTGAGAGAGTCAAGCAAAAGTGGTTCAAAACACCAAAGTTCATGCTCAATAATCCAGGAATAAAATCCAACAATGTTCAGTCAGGTCACCTGGACGGTTTCTTTTTTTGAAACCATCCAGATGACCTGACTGAACATTGTTGGATTTTATACATGGATTACTGAGCATGAACTTTGGTGAAAGCTTAAATTGTTTTAGTTTACATAAAGTGTTCATGATAAGGTCAAAACAATGTGTACTTGTTTGAGATTGTGATCTTTCATTTGCAAACTGTGAAAACGTCCAATGTTCATGAAGAAAGTATAATATGACTAAATAAAAAAGAATGTTGTTTAGATAATAATTGGTAACTGATGGTTTATTGTTATTTTAGATAAACAGATGCGGAAAAAAACTTTTACTCAGCAAATACTAACAGATTTAAATATCTTCCTTATGAGTTGTAGAAAGGATAGTTGCAATGTTGTAAATAAATAGAACATAAATAGACAAAAGTACGTATTAGTCTTTATTTTTTCAAACGTACAACACTTAGTTTGCAAATAAAATCTACATAGTGATTTTTTTAGAGGCATTTCAACTCATTTTCAGTGTTAACAGTACAAAGTATTTGACTACGTCTAACATGAACCCCTTCTGATCTAAATTAGATTTTTGCTCCAATTCCACCCAAAAAGTGAAGAAAAAAACATTAATGTGTTGTTGCAGTTGTTTTATGCCCAATCTTTATCATAAAGGTTCAGTGAAAACATAAACTTTTGGTCTATTAGAACTATGCTATTTTGTTTAAAATCCCCTAAATATAGAGCATGCATGGACCTGCTGCCCCATTGCTGATGTTCTTCCTCCTTGGCATTTAGTCAAACCCACATGAATGTTCCTGATTAGTCTCTTTTTCATAGAAGCACTCACTGTTGCTCAGTCTTTCATTTGCAGCATCTGGTTGCTACTTATGCCCTTGAAATAAATAAAATCAATGGAGAAATAGTGATTTTTTTTTCCCCCACACGTCTTCTGCCTTTTGCCTTAGTTAAAAAAAACAACAACAAAGAAAACACTGGTAACACACTATAATGATTTCTGTCAACCCAACTTTAAGATGTATAAGGACTAGCCAAAAAAAAAACAACAACTTAAAACTGAAAGAGGGTTTGCTTTGTCTAATATGCTTTGAACAAAGTCCTTTTCAAATCTCCATGCTGTACTTCACTTCCTCAGCAGGGTCTTAAAACAAATCCTTTTGAGGACGTGAGAATTAACCTAATCCTTTACAATCTGCATCTAATTTTCCTGCAACTAAGGAGGATGTAAGTGGCAAGGCATATTCTGAAAAAAAAAAAATATATATATATTTGCAGGATAATTATGGTTCTCCTTTGTACATGGCACCAGTACAACCATATGTTAACTTTCTCTACGGCTTGAATACTATAATTGACAGAAAGTAGACTCTGAAGCACGCAGAAAAAGAGAAACATGTGCAAGAATCTTGGACTAATAACAGGGTTTGGCAACCTTTCCTGGCACATAATGTATATACTGAAAAAAAAGTACATTAACACTTCGGGATAAGATTTTAAGTTGCTTCTTAGTTTCATACACAGCCTTGGAAACAACAGCTCTGATTTCTGCATCTTGTATAGATCATTAAATGTTCAATGCCAATATGCCCCCCACATTTTCTTCATCATGACACAGCAAAAAGTGTAGACTTCTAGAGACGAGGCTAATAACAAGGTATAATGCAGTCATGGAAAACTACATTGTGCAAGAGCAGATGTTCTGGACGGTTTACAGCTGGTATTGATCTTTACATAGCTGGAGGCTATATGTTACAGTGCATATTACATGAAAGAGGAAACATGCATGTGCACTAATGAGACAGAGTGGTTGGAGCTACAGCTGCAGAGGCTAGTGGTATTTATTCTTTACCAGCAACATCATCCTCTCAGTTAAAGACAAACACAGGCGAGGAGAGATACGAAGGAGGCATTGTCAAAGATCAAGCAACCAGCAGGTATGTTGCAGCTTCTGCATGTTTTAAACACAAACCATAAGATGTTCTAGATTGGCAGAATTCAGCTCTTGTAGGTTTTTGTAATAAGTGCTTTGCTTCCTGTTGCATTTAAATGACACAATTTTGACCAGTTTTTCGTTTTGTTTTGTAACAGTGATCATGCGGATGTTGGTGGCGCTTCTGATATTAGGAATTGTGGATGTGAACCTTAGCCAGCATCACAGCTCGTTCCAGTGGCTGTCCCAGCTACGAAGACGGTGGCAGAATGCAGGTTGGCAGGCTGAGGGCATAGACTGCCCCCTGGAGTGCGACTGCCCTGCATCTTACCCCACAGCCATGTACTGCCACAGCCGCAACCTTCAGCACATCCCTTACGTTCCGTCGCATGTAAAGTATGTGTATCTGCAGCGGAACCAGATCACGGGCATCCAGAATGGGGTGTTTGACAACGCTACTAACCTAGCTTGGGTAGTATTGTCTCATAACAAGCTCACCTCGGACAAAATCAGCAGCAGTGTCTTTACAAAGTTAGAAAATCTGGATCGGCTCTACCTGGATCACAATGAACTTACCAGTGTGCCTGATAAATTACCCAAGTCTGTCACAGACCTGAGGCTTGCTCACAACAAGATCGCAAAAGTTCTTTCCAACACGTTCAAGGGAATGACCAACCTGACCACCCTTGAGCTGCAGGGAAATGTCATAGAAGACATAGAAGGTGGCTTTAAGGGACTAAAGTCTTTGACCATGCTGGACATGAGAAAAAACAAGCTGAGAAAAATCCCAGAAACCCTCCCTGAGAGGCTACAGCAGCTCTACCTAGAGTTTAATAACATTGAGGAGGTGCCAGCTGGTTTCCTCACCACACATCCCAATCTGCAGTTTGTCCGGTTGGCTCACAACACCCTGACTGATAAAGGACTTCCATCTCATGTCTTCAACACCAGCTCACTCGTTGAGCTCGACCTGTCCTTTAACAAACTGGAAAAGATCCCTCTTATCAATAGGAACCTGGAGAACCTCTACTTACAAGCCAATAAGATCAAAGGTATGAAAACTAAGTTGTAACCCAAGTCCCTGAAAGTCTTGGGCTTTTTATTAGTTTTGAAATGAGAAAGCTCTGAGGATGAAATGGGATGAAAAACATCTTCATCTACAGAACAGAAGTTCAGTTGCTTTGTTTTTTTTGTTTAATCAGGCAAATGATGTATATACAAATTTAAAAATATCATAAATAATCATTACAAATATGACAAATATCATAGAGGTAAAAGATGTAGAAAAATGTATTGTCAAACATTGAACACCAGCACAATAAAAAAATAAAATTAAAAACCCGTCATAGTTTCCTGACCAGCTTCTGCAACTCGCTGTGAATACACAGCCCATTATGACCTCAACTAACAGCAATATTCTGATCTCAAAACACAAAATGTGCATAAAAGAGATGGAAATTTGAAATAATCTGGCAGTTTTTGTTCTTTGAACATGGCTTGAGTTAGTTATTTATGTAATGGAATGTAAAAAAACCCAACATATTTTATTAGGTAATGATTACAGTTTGTTCTTTTTATTTTTACAGCCCATTCATTTTTCATTTCCTCAACTGAGGCCATTTTTAATGGATTCCTGTTGCTTTTTTCTAGGATATTATCTAAACAATTAAAAAAAGAGATCTGATCTTTTGAGTTCAGTTGGGAGATGATTCCACGCTATCAAAGCAGTGACAGTACTCACAAATGCTCTACACAGTCCCACCTACTGTTAATAACATATTACTCTAGTACCCACATGATGAAATACTCAAAATATAATATTTGCTGAAATCTGATTTACACTATACCTGTGTTTGGTAATGACACTTTCCAGTTTATGACTTTTTAGTTTAGACATGTTCTAAAGTGATCACTCCACCAAAATTTCTTCAGGAATTTTTCAAGTTTTTTAGTTAAATTTAAAGAAAATTAGGTTGTAGTATAAATACTTTTCTGCTTGACTGTTGAAGGGAAGTGAAAATTGTGATTTAACAGCACTGTTTAGAAATTCTTCCTAGAAGTAAGAATCTGTTTAACTTTTCAACAATAATAATAATCAAATAAAAAAAAGATCTATTGCTTGTTTTTTAAATGTACATCTATTATCAAGTTTATGTTCACATTTTCCTAACCTGATAGAAACAGATTGTCCTGACTTGCAGTTTTAGTTTCAACATCTGGCATTTGCTGAGCTCCGTACAGCTTGTAATACAGAAATGTGCAAACTGTCTCTGACAGTTACATCTGGACATTTTAGTGAATTTTAAGACGTAGGCAATAAAGGTTTAATCTGTTTTCATGTCTGATTTTCCTTTCAGAGTTTTCCCTGAGCAGTTTCTGCGGCACCATCGACGTGACAAACTTTTCCAAGCTGAGGGTACTGCGTTTGGACGCCAATGAGATCCGTGCCAGAGACATTCCTGCCGAAGCTGCCTATTGTTTGCGGCACGTTGCTTTCATTGATGTCTAAAGCTTCCTGTTCTTCCTCGATGACATGTCTCCATCGTTAACGCTTGTATTTACCTTGCACAACATTTTGTGATTGAGTAAAGTTTAAGAGCTCATACTAAACAATAATTTTCTTAATGTTTAACAGTTCCAGTGTTAGTCAACAGGAAATACCATGGTTGTATAATTCAATGTCCAGATGGTAGGCACATGGAAAACAGAGACTGACAAAGCCTACATGACTAATACCTTTAAACTGTCATTAGAATAATAAGTCCAAATCTTCAGGGAGACAACACATGAATATGGATTACTGATGACACAACTTACGAGAAAAGAACTGAATCATCTGTGAGCAATTTGATTTGGATCATTTCATCCACCGTGTTGTACATGACCAAACTTTAAATCAAGCCACCCTGCTTTGCATCTATTAAAGAGGGCCTTTTCAGCACATTTTCAATATCCATTAATTCACTGATAGTTTGATTGGTCCATTGTTCCCATTAAAACTGTATGGTTTGGTTTGTCTGCGTCCACAGTGCTCGTGTGTAACTGAGAAAATGTGCATTTTCAAACGTGCATCTGTGTTATCCAAATCTATCTGTCCATCGAGCTGTCTGGAATAATCACAAACTACTTCCACCTTTTAATTTTCTGAATATGAATGTCACTGTGGCAAATGTATAATTAAAGTGTTACCATTCAAGCCTTCACCTTCTAGGAGTGCACTTTATTTTTACTGCTGGATATTTTTCTTGGCGGCATATACAAACATAAATGGAAATACAGTACTTTAATGAAACTCATAAAGTAGTTTTTGATTATACTGTACGTCTACAACTGATTACCTTTTGGAGACACAAATAAAAGTCAGACTTCAACTAAAATGGTTTGCTTTTTTGTGATTGCAACTAAAATGGCACAGAGGATGCAAAGTAGACAAGAGTAAATATACTATACAAAATAAACATTTTGTAACATTATTAAACAAGTTTTCCCCTGTGTTGTTCCTTATTTCTTTAAGCAAAAAAAAACAACAACATAAAAGTGATTGTCAATCAGATGCTTTCCTCATTATTTTTTTGTTGTGGATCAAATTTTAACAAAGCTTTTCTTCGTTCCCAGCACAAAAATCGTAACACTGACAGTCATGATTGCAATTTTTTTTGTAAACATTACTTTTCTTATGAAACAGACCTAAAAAGAGTCAATTACTTTATCGGCCTCCTGATGTTTGTATTTCATTTGTGATCAAGCCAGTGTGCAGCTTGAAAATCTCAGCTTTATTACATACAGTTAATCTGCTATGGAAAGGTTTTTAAGCCTGCTATATCATTATTGATCCTCCATTAGTTATTTTTAAATAAAATTTTTATAGACCAACTCATGCCAGTATATGCCAATATTTTGCTAGCTTTTTACATAATTGTGTTTTTGGTGTAAAAATACTATTTGTTAGACTTTTAGGTTGGTCGGAGGTCTCGGTGGGGCTGGTTTTCACAGGCTTGAAATGGGATACGTGGAACATAGGGTGAATTTTCATGGACAGAGTAAGTTGTAAGCGGACAGCAGATGGATTGATTATTTTGGTTATTTGAAATTGTCCGATGTATCTGGGGTCGAGTTTTCTGTGTGTGTCTTTGAGAGACATGCCTTTAGTGGAGAGCCATATATTTTGGCCAACCTGGTAACTAGGGGCCATAGATCGGCGGCTGTCAGCACACTTCTTATTTTGTTCTTCCGTTCTGAGTAGTGTTTCTCTGTTTTGATGCCAAACTCCGTGGCATCTTCTGACATGGTGCTGGACAGAAGGGACAGAAATATTAAAGTCCTGAGAGGGAAACAGTGGGGGAGAATACCCCATTGATGCCTCAAAAGGAGACTAACCTGTTGCTGAGGAGGTTTGAGAATTATGGGTGTACTTGACCCAAGGCAGATGTTGACTCTAAGTGGATGGGTTACTATTGATCATTAACCTTACTTAATCACCTTAATGAAGCTTCCAGTTCTTGGTTGCAGCTCTCTGTTTGACCATTAGATTCGGGATGATAGCCAGACGTCAAGCTGGAGGTTGCACCCAAGGCTTGGCAAAAAGACTTCCATATTTGGGAGATGAACTGGGGTCCCCTGTCTGAAACAATAGCTAAAGGAATGCTATGGAGGCGGAAAACATGATTTAGCATTATTATGCTGTTTCTATTGCAGAAAGGAGCTTGGTCAGGGGGATAAAATGAGTAGCCTTAGAGAATCGATCAATAACTGTGTAGAAGTCAGAGTTACCTTCAGACAGAGGTAGGTTGGTGATGAAGTCCAAAGGGATATGAGACCATGGACGACTGGGGGATGGTAGTGGAAGAAGAAGATCTGCAAGGGGTTTGTTATTATTTTTGTTATGTGGACAAGTTGGACAGGCAGAAACAAAGTCCTTCACATCTTTGGACATGTTGGGACACCAAAAATGTTCCTTCGTGAGATGCAGCATGCATGTGATGCCAGGGTGATAGATAACATTTGCTGTGTGTAACCAATTAAGTAACTTTCATTAAGTTCATGTGGTCCTATTGGTGTCATCTTGCGGGGATCTTCAGCTCTCACTGGAGCGTTTCGTAGCTGAGTGTAAAGCAGCTGGGATGAGAATCAGCACCTCCAAATGTGAGGCCATGGTCCTCAACCGGAAAAGGGTAGATTGCTCTCTGCGGTTTGAGGGTGAGGTTCTGCCTCAAGTGGAGTTCAAAAATCTTGGGGTTTTGTTCACGAGTGAGGGAAGAACGGAACGTGAGATGGACAGATGGTCTGGTGCAGCATCTGCAGTATTGTGGACTCTGTGCCAATCTGTTGTGGTGAAGAGGGAGCTGAGCTGTAAGGCAAAGCTCTCTGTTCACCAGTCAGTCTATGTTCCTACACTCACCTATGGTCACGAGCTCTGCGTAGTGACCAAAAGAATGGGATTTTGGATACAGGTGGTTGAAATTAGTTTCCTCCGCAAGATAGTTGGACTCTCCATTAGAGACAGAGTGAGAAATTTAGTTATCCAGGAGCGACTCAGAGTAGAACCGCTGCCCCTCCACTTTGAGAGGAGCCAGTTGAGGTGGTTCGGGCATGTCCAGCTGGGAGGAGACCCCGGGGAAGACCCAGGACACACTGGAGAGCCTATATCGCTCTGATAGCCTGGGAACACCTTGTAGTCTTCCCAGAAGAGCTAGAAGAAGTGACTGCAGCAAGAAATGTCTGGACCTCCCTGCTCTGATGCTGCTCCTCGAGACCTGACTTCGGAGCAAGTGGAAGATAATGGATGAATTGATGGATATATGTTACACACACCCCTACACACACACATGCATTTTATCATATTTATTATTATAAGGTATTTTCTTTTTAATTCAGACTTCCAAAGTAAATTGTACAAAATATGAAAGTTCTTCAGGCTTAAAGTGGCACATGTAAATATGTATGTTTTAAATGAAGTGCTTTTCTTTGAATAATTTGTGTTGTTTAGAAACATTTCTTTTTAATGTAATGTGACCAAGAATCGTTGTTTAATAAGGGTTTTTCTGTTTATTGCTCTCAAAACATCACGCTGGCGACTTCAAACTTTGCTAATACTTTTGACATGACAAAATATAAATATCCGGTTTAAACTTTTATTCTGAAAACCCCCTCGCCCATGTTTCAGCGACGCTCTGCATCACTCCCACTAGCTTCATGTAGCTGGAGCAGCTCACGGTGGCACACGTGCCTGCGGAATACAAACAGACCAGATGCCTATTGATATGTCAAGCATAGGCATCACAACCATTATATGTGAAGGGGACATGTCTCCCCCACATTAAAAAAATTTTCATTTGGACCCCCCCCCCCCCCCCCACCCACACACACACACACTATTAAACACAAGTTCAGGTGGCACAGTTTCTCTTTCTTCGTGAATGAATCCATTCAACTTTAGTAGGAGAATACTCAAGCCACTAAAACTCCACTCCAGGTTTTCCTGGTTACCTCCAACTCTGAGTCTCCTGCCTCGGCAGAAAATGCGCACAGGTGGAGGAGATGGAGACACCTCTGTGTTGTTCGCTCACTAGTTTAGCAAGCTTCGTGCGAGCAGTTGTTGACCAGGGGATTGATCATAAACATATATATATGGTTAGGAGGATGTTTGAGAGGAGCGCTACATCTGTAGCATGTTAGCTTAGCAGTAACTGTGACGCTGTAAAACGCTGCAGGTGTAAGAGACGCTGTGTGTTCAGGTGCATTAAAGTTGAAATGTCTTTAAAACCCCACACCTTATTGTCCTCAAGCTTCGTGAGAAACATCATTTAGATGAGTAGTGTTGAACACTAGTACAAAAGTCTAGCGTTGATGTTTTTTTATTTCTCCATAAACACAATGTGTCGACCTGACGCTCTGTATTAAAGTGTATTAAAGTTAAAATGTCTTTAAAAACCCACAGCTGAATTTACATCAACTTGGTGAAAAACATGCTTTAAATGTGTGGAATTAAAGCAAATCTATGTGAAATGCTGCTTTTTTTGTATTAGTGCACACTTTTGTACACGTGCACGCACTCACATACACTTACACACATCTTTGTGTCCCCCCCCACATTAAAGAAGCTTCTGATGCCCTTGTTGTCACATATCATTTGACACTTTTAAGTGGATAAAGACATTCCCAAGCTTTTCTAGTGGGTATACAGCATATACCAGTGTATCACATAGAATACACCACTGATGATAATGTCCCTGCACTGGAGAAATGTCTGGCTGAGGCTTTTATACCGAAGCAGAGTAGTCCTGCAAATAAGGAGCAGGTGTGGAGTGGTGACTGATTGTGATTTGCAGCAGCTATGGAGAAAATTAGTGTGGCTGGCAAACCTAGAAATCCCTCAGACTTACAACTTTATTACAACACACATTTACTGAATTGTAGTGTGAAGTGGTGTTACAGTAAGGATTTGCCATATTTACAGTATGGTACTGTACTGCAGCATTTTACACATGGGAAGCATGATTATTCTAAACT